TTAAGGCATACAATGTCAAACCTTGATGTAAGTGAAGGCTAAGGGCTTCGTAACTAGAACACTTCTTTATTATCAAAGTCTCTATGACATAAAAATCCCAGATTTTCCACACAAATGATTATCAATATCAATGTTAATAATACTTCAATAACCCATGTTTCATAATTGTTTGGTGGATAAAATTTCAAACTGTTATTATACAGACAATCACCTACTTTATCATAGTTTATCCCGTAATTTACATATCATGTTAAAAATGACAAGACAAGTTCAGTGGTTGAGCAAGGTCAAGGTATTTGCAACTTGCGACTCTGACCCCCGACCTACATCATCACGACTGTCACAGTTGTATGATCGGCAATACCCATGTCTGTGTAATGAATACCATTTAACAACATCGCCTTTATAAGGCCCACAATGCATCTTTCTAAAAGGAGAACTTTAACACGTGGGAACATTTCTTAATCGTGTTTCTCAAATTGTGTGCTCTACATACCAGGTTGTTTGGGTAAAGGGTCATGTCACCATGGCGGTGTAATACGAGATGCTTTTACTGTCTATTGATAAGGTGGTGAAACTTTCTACTTGGTTGATGGCGGTACATACACACTCCTCAGTGTCTTTTCAGGCTATACATTATAACTATTCACTCATTTTCTATTAAAACTAATACAATTCCAAAGCATTAAAAGCATAGCATATATTAATCACCAGAGATTTTGTCCAAAATTTATTTTGATAAATATTTCCTGATTTGTTGCCTTGATCTTCAAAGGCTGAAAAACTGCTGCGAATTTAAACTCATTCACTTAAAGACAGTGAGAATTTCATGATTTGGCAATGTCAAGTCATATTTCAAATATGAATGAATTTGAATCCCGGAAATTTACATTTCTTTAACAAATTCAATCAAACTGGATGAACATCAACTTGAAACAAGAACCTGTTTCATATGAAAGGAAAAACATGAATGTCAATATTGATAACAGCAGTTACATATTTGTGTTGACAACATTGAAATGCAGACATAATCAATATAAGCTTTACAGTTTTTATCCTCACTTGTATGCAAAAAGATATCTAAAATATTTTAAAAAATAAAAAAGATGCTAAACATTCCAAAATGCATAAAGTTACACTTGCAATAGTTGACATACAGCCTCACAAACAACATGTCAAAACGAATAAAGAGATATTTAATTATTTAAAACTTGAAAGAGTACAGTTTTGTTTGATAGAAAATGACTGATGGCACATGCAGTTTCAGTGTATATTGTGAGGCTCACATATACAACAAACAATACAACTCACATATTCCAGGAGCCGACATAGAAAGGAATGCACATCTGGTATGCCGAGGTTGACTATGGTACACTTTAGTGCATACAGCTTGGCTTGAAATAACGTACCATAATTGCTAAGTTTGACAGAAACAAAAGGCCAGAGGTTGCAAAGGGGATGATGATTGGAGAGAAGGACTCGGTTTATGATGTAATTTGTGTTGGCAGGACAATAGCATCAATAACTGATAGCCTCCATGCATGCAATGTTTGCGAGAAATGTGTCACATATTTGTTGACAAATGCAAAATGTTGGGTTTAAAGACGGAAAGGTGGAAATAACTGCTTGCACATAGTTTAGAGGGAGTGAGAGAGTGAGTTGGGTTTAATGCCGCTTTTAACAGTATTATAGTTATATCGCAGTGTGTCAGCTTAATGTGGGAGGAAAGCCCGAAGTGATGCAGGTCTCAGACGTTTAACACCTCAGTTAAACCCACAAGCACAGGTAAGGTGCTGACAAACCTAGAAACATAATCGGGCAAACCGGGATTCAAACCCAGAATCATACGTTTCTGGCATGCCCAAGGGACCAATTCTGCAGAGCGAATCATGGCGCCTTAGACGATGGGGCCACCCGTGCCCCCACACATAGTTTAGAGGGCATTAGAGACGATTCATTTAATATTCAGAGGAAGGAATAAATTATTCCCCCCAAAAAATGCAAGAAAATATTTTGTTTGTTGCATTTAAATGTAAATTCTTAACCATCTCCTTTCACAGAAATGAATTTGCGTTTTGAAGCAGTGACGGAAAAATTATTCTGTTTCTTACAAAAATCTCTTTACAACCCATGACCACGAATACAGGTTTCCAAAATACTTTTGTCACGCTTATTTATGGGCTTTTAAAGTCTTTAAAAGCAGTATTAAATGGAGTGAGTGAGTGAGTTAGGTTTTACGCCGCTTTTAGGGAATCGAACCCGGGTCTTAGCCGTGACGAGTGAACGTTTAACCACTAGGCTACCCGACCGCCCCGTATTAAATGGAGGTACACAGAAGTCTGTTTATTTATAATTTACATCAGAGTGAGTGAGTTGGATTTTACGCCGCTTTTAGCAATATTCCAGCAATATCACGGCGGGGGGCACCAGAAATGGGCTTCATACATTGTACCCATGTCGGGAATCGAACCCGGGTCTTCGGCGTGACAAGCGAACGCTTTAACCACTAGGCTACCCGACCGCCCCAATTTACATCAGAAATGTAGATAATAGATAAAGAACATTTACTTCAAATCTTGAAAGAGTCAATCCTGGAGGTTTAACCCTACTGCAGATTGTTGGACTTCACTTCCATATTTGACATTCAAATCTTTCATTTTCTTTACAAAGGTAAAAGTATCAGCCATATTGAAATATCAGCAGTCTCAAATAACGATATGAAAGTGTTGCCACATCATCCTGATCAAATGCCACTGTTAACAAGGGTATCTTTTGCAGTTTCACGGTCGTATTGTTTTTCGTTAATTATCAGCTGTTAAACAAACCAGTGTATGGCCGGACACATGCAAGATTTCTGTACATCAGACAAATCAAACATCTTTCGGCACAAAACACACATGAATTTGTACTTAGCCACCTTAACATTGTGAGACAGATAGAGATTGCTATTTATAGTATTATAACACTCAAAAAAAATATCTCATGTTGTAGTGACTCATGGGCTAGCGTGTTTTTTCTCAAATTGTACAAATTCTGATATTGTTAGAAAACATTATAAACCTAGATGGGATGGCGAGGATGGTGAGGGTGTTGAGAGCAGATTGTTCACATGTGGACAGGAAGATTCTACTTTCTGTCTTCAAAATGTTTGCCAATAAACAATAGGCTTTATTAAATAAAAACAACATGACCTACTTGTCTACTGAATGTTTCAAAAACTTCCTAAAGTTCAAATTTCTGAAATTAACTTTCTTTCAGTTAAAATGATTAACACATAATAATGTAAACTAAACAGCATATCTTTTTTTATGGACTTTCTTTCTGATATCATTAACATGATTTTGATAGAAACATTAAATCTAGCAAATTCAATGCTGCCAATGATATCTTACATAAAACATTATTACGTTAAAAAAGCTACCTAGAAACATTGCTCTGTTATTACTTTTACTTAGATGACAGACCCATTCAGAAAGGCTGAAGAATTTGGCAGTTAAAATTAAGAATGTAGACTTATTGGAAATCAGGGCACTACAGCAAACAATTCAACTGGTATGTCTTTAAGATCCTACAAAAGATACTGTGACCAACACAAATATGACTATCACACAGATACTGTATCCATGTTCGCAAGTCAATTTAACAGTGCTAAGCCTGGACCTTAAGTTATAAAAACAACTGTTTATTTAATAAGCGACAACAAGAGTCCAATAAAAATAAGCGACAACAAGAGTCCAATAAAAAAATCAGTTTATCCCCTCTTTGATCTAAGAAAGAAATTGGTTTGCCTACTGGGAAAACTAGTAAAAACTCTAAAACAAGTCTTTCAAATAAGCTGTAATTGACTATGAACTTGAACTATAAAAAGCACTTAAATGAAATTAACTACTAATCGTGGATCTCAGTTTCCAGATGAACTCTAAATCTATGGCACACTACAGAAACACAAAGTGCATCACAGCAGCTGAAGTGACAGTTGACATGAGGTCACACGGTGCATAAACTTGGAAATGGAGGAAGATGTTGCAACACAAGCTGGTATACTACAAAACTCAGAGATACTGCATCTTCAAGAATCAGGGCTATCTGCAACAATATGTTTTCATTCCTGGACCCAATGACAAATATTACTGGTTGCCTGGCAACATGAAACTTATTCGGATTATCCAATCGATTGAAACATAAAAGCTGGACAGGATAACAAATTTGTCATGTGGATCAAGGGTGTTATGAGACAGAAGAGGTGAAAATAGCCCTGATTGCAGAGGATGGTACAAGACTGACATACATCTTACCTCAATGTCAGTTAAAAAGAACACATTTGTCGAAAAAACAACTATTGCCTTGTAGAAACTGTGCTTTATTAATGTGGCTGATAACAGATGTTTTTTTTAAGACTTGATGTTTCGAAATTGATTTTTACTGTTTTACCTTTATAATTTCCAGCACAGTTTCTGAAACTACAAGTCATGTACTAGTCATGATTATCTCACAAAGATCATAATCATACCTTCATAAACACGAGCTGTAGATCTGATTTGGTTTTTTTCATCTTAAAAGAACATTACTCAAATAAACATTAAAAAATTAAACAGTAGTTATGAATCACTTTTCTGACGTCAGTTTATTTTTTAGATATGTTTATAAATTACACATTGATAAATGTAGAAGAAATAAGTACATGACTTGCAAATATTCTGAGGCTACAGCATGGCGCCATATCTTGTAACTAATTTAAAGTACGGCCAAAATTGATACTTGTTTATTATATTAACAGTTCTCAAAAGATGCAAAATGGTTCGGAATCAATTTCTTATTTCACAGATTTTCAAAAGGCTGATTGTTTTTGTCCATATACCAAGAGGTAACAGTTAAAGAATTGTCCATACAAATAGAAAACAAACTGGTCTCAAGTCTGAGATTTATTACATAGTCAGTGTATATTAGTCTACAAGAGTTGGCACCAGGCTGTTCTGTAGAAGCAAGGAAAGGGACAGTACCTGGGGATGTCTTGTCAGACTCACCAACGAGGCGACCATCTCTGATGGGCCTCAATTTGGGCATAGACCGAATGTCTGTGAGCAGGAGTTCATGGGGGTCATGGACTTTTGGAGGAGGGGACTTCAACTTCCTGTCCTTCACCTGAAAACAAAAATCATTTCAATATTTATCTTCGATAATATTATACAATGTACAGACAGCATCGACCTGCAACTCTGCTGTAACACCACAGATTCTACTGTGGCTGCTGGTACATCATCACTACCACAGAAACCACAAAGATTCTACTTCAAATGAATACATACCACTTGAATATGAATCATCAAGCTAAACACATTTTACATTTCACTTCAATAAGCTGTCATATCCCAACTGTGATCACATCAGTTGGATATTCCAACATCCCTCAATCCATCACTCCACACAAATGCTAAACAAACACCAGCCACAAGTCCACACCATGAATATTTTATATCAATCACTGACACGTTTTGGATCAAACAACCCCATAATTTTCCATCCTTTCTATTCTGAAAACACAGTTTGGATTTGAGCATTAGAGTGCCATATTTACAACTGAAGAACGACCAACCACATTTCCACCCTCCACTTCTGCTTCTCTATGTTCTGTAAAACATGCGCCTTTTTGTCCATGGCTGCAATATGACAACTTCAATTATGCTCTACAGAGAGCTAGTATTCTACCCTAGAAAAGCTCTTAAGGCGATACTTGTTTTATTCATCGATTAACAGATCCTGCCGACCGTAAAAAAATGAAAAGCAGAAATCAAAATTCAAAAAGCTTTTTTATTCCACTGAATTAAAACTTAGATGTAAAAAAATAGGCAAGCTGCACAGTAACTTCCCAGATGGCAAATCAAATAAATAATCAGAAATGTCTTCTTTATCTCAACCAAGACTTTTCACAAGAGATTTTTCAAACCAAGGAATTAAAAAAGCCAGGACAAAGAGTAGGAATCTGGTCTGGCACATAATGTTGCTGTATTATGGTAACTCAATAGAAAAGGCACTAAAAGTCCGAAAGATGTCAATTGGTTTAGACTGGTCTCAGGTGCTGGAGCAGAAGCTCGACATTTTGCCAAGTTTTCAAGACCAATTTATCTAATTTTTCAAAAGACAATGTTATCACTAAATCATTCATAAACACCAGAAACCAAGGAGCCATTCATCAATAAGTAAATATATACTGATGGAAACGAATAAGGGAACAATTAGTTTTAGACACAGTAAAATGATATGCTATCATGGGCTCCTTGTCTACCGAATACGAATTGAAACAATGTACACAAACACATCTCAACATTTGATTCTGACATGTGTTGAACATGTATTCATGATTTTCAAATGTACGATGCATGTCCAAGACCATTTTACAACTGCAGCAAGTAACACAATACTACTTTCCTACCTGACAATCCTGCAGGAATCTAACCTTCCCTGTCTGAAGCCACAGAAAGCACCAAACGTAAGACAACCGATAATGATGCCCTTGAGAAGAGGACCATTCACAATTTACCAAACGAGAAAACTTTGGAAGAAATTCCTCATCTCCAATTTGCCTCCAAATGCACAAATGTGTTCTTGCCCTGCTCCGATCAATATTGAAAGCAGAACTGGGCACCTACACAGATTTTTTTCAAATTAGAATGTCTGCCGTAAGACATTGTTCTGAATTGCCATGATCTGAAATACTTCACTGACCAAAGCTGTGGTTACCATCAATTTCAAGCCACTTACATCAAGCAAAACGTTCTGTAGATGCTATTTTAACATATTTCTGGATATATATAAGACATGCGGCCTTAGCTCTCATCTTGCCTGAAGTAAATTAAGCAGTTCAGTTCTTCCAAGTTTGTTTTTTCATCTTAATTTAGGTGTTAAGATACCACATTGGACAGCAAAAATAAAGCTCTATTTCTAGTCCTGAAGTATGAGCTGTGAGTCAGTTAATTATAAAGAATGTACAAAATCCCCCTGAAACATGATATTACACTTGTAAACAAATAGAACAGGGAAAACTTACAAAACCGTACAGGAAGGAGACATCTTCTGATCATCCATACTGCTGGCTTGACTTGCACAAGGCATAGGAGTTAGGAGTTGGGATGGAGTGTATATTATCCACAAGAGTAGACAACTTTCCAATATTTGCACACATGTATTTTAGCGATTCTCTATGCTAATATTGGTCAACTGAAGCCTTATGACGTCACAGTGTTTCACTGATGAGAAAAATAACATCATCCATCCATTGTTCATGACGTCACAAAATGATTACAAGACGTCATCTGAATAATAGGCTGCCTTCGGGGAAGTTTGCCTGCAGGGTGGACATTTTATATGTCCTTGCTTCATTTTCTCTCTTAAAATGTCAGTGAGTAATATATAGAACAACTTACCCGGAACTCAGAATTACAGATTGTTTTGTCCCACGTGAATGAATGGTGCAGTCCCTTGCCAAAGGCTCGAGATTAACAACATTCATTCACTCGGGATAGATCATCAGTAACTCCTTATAGCTTGTTGGTTTTTCTCTAAATCTCATGCAAAAATTAAACCCGTTATTTCAGTTACCGTATTCAACGTAATAAGCACCCAGGGTGCTCTTAAAATTAGAAATAGGGGCTCTTGTTAGAATATCATTTTGGGGGAAAAAAACAGTTGAAAGAAAAATTTCATGGTTTATGCTGACAGCCTGAAACGTTTATATACGACAGATATATTTTTCCAGAATTTAATTGCCCATAATTAAGGGTGCATATAACACTCGAGTGCGTATTATACGCGAATAAATAAGTCTTGTGTGCATTGATCAATCTGGAGGAGTGCTAATAGGGATTGCTCACTAGCCAATATGTTAGCAAATATCGCTTATTACATCGAATACGGTATATCACAGTATGTCAACTTGATAAGGGAGGGTTGTCCAAAGTGATGCACCTATCATGATATAACATTTGTACTTAGTTTTCATATAATCATTAGATCCAAAGCAAGTGCTTTTATAAATATTACACCATGATAACTTATAAAAGCACTTGCCGTGGATCTAGTTATTATATGAAAACTTAGTATAAATGTTATATTATGATACAGGTCTTAGACATTTACCACTTTGATGCTACCTGTGAAGATCCGGGGTAGAATAGGTCTTCAGCAACCCATGCTTGCCGTTAAAGGAGACTATGCTTGTCATAAGAGGCGACTAACGGGATCAGGTGGTCAGGCTCGCTGACTTGGTTGATGCATGTCATCGCATCTTAATAGCGTGGATTGATGCTCATGATGTCAATCACTGGATTGTCTGGTCCAGACTCGATTACTTACTGACCGCCGTCATATAGCTGGAATACTGCTGAGTGCGGTGTCAAACAACAAACAAACAAACAACTCTGATGCAACATGGGTATGGTGCTGACAAACCTAGAAACATAATCTGGTTGACCCGGGATGTCAATACTTCAATCAATCTGGTTTCAAAAGAGGGCTGTTTTCAGTCACAGCAACCCATCTAAATACTATTCATTATCTGCTGCTATTACTAACAGTGGTAGCAAGAGATGATTGTTGAAGCATTCAAATCATGTCCATCCCCACACAAAAATCAATAAATTCCACAAATGTCAATCTCGAACAATCAATAGAATATTCACAAAAATATTGCACTGGAGGAAAATAAAAGAGGTGGATTATTCATGTCACATTCTTTTTAAGAAAAAATTCTTAAAAAGAATGTGACATGAATAATCCTGTAGTTCACCACAACTGTCTGAAAGTGTGTATCAACATTTGTCTGGGGTTTAAAGACAAGTTTTAAGTGAAGCTTCTCAGTTCTTACAATACATGACATACCTTGGCCTTACATACATGTCTAAGAAACTGTAAGTATTTAAAGTTTTAGCTTTAATGAAAACATATTAATAGAATTTCATACTTTTTTATATAAAGTTTTAGCTTTAATGAAAATATATTAATAGGATTTGATACTTGCTAACCACAAAATTACATAAAATATTAAACATATTGATAAAAAACATATTGTTCCTTAAAGCTGAAACAGACACACTTTTAAAAGCCAGTTCACAGAAAAAGCTAAAGGCATTAATAGCAGAAAATTAAAGGGAAAAAAACAACAACAAAAAACATCAAATGGACTATATGCCTTTCAACCTTCCATGAAATTACACTCCATTAAATTCATGTTTACAAAATATCAGTTGGCACACTTACAAAAGGTTGGTGAGATCAGGTTACAGACACTTCTCTGGCTACCTACAACACTGTCCTAGACTGTCACAACACCCAACACACGATTACCATTGCTTTGTGTCCCCACTTTTCCCACCCTCAACACAATGACCCGGGACGAGGCATGCTGCAAACGTGTTGACCCAGTAAAACACCCACACACAGCACCATTGTCACTCTCACGTGTTGCCGGTAAAACTCACGTCATCTATAAACATACACATCAGGACCTACCTACATTTACCTAGGAGTGTCCAGAATATCATTTAAGGTCTAAGAAAAAATTCAAAGTTTAGAGGCTAGACTTTGTATTTCTTGGTCGGTAGGTGGAAAAATTAGAATAAATAAAATGACATTTCTGATAATAATTTTTTTTTGTTTTAGTTAAATGAATATGTTGCTATGTGTTGTCAGTTAAGCTAGTCTCATCTTTCAACCTGTTGTAAACTATTGCAGTAAAACTATTGCTTATTCGTGATGATAAATGCAACGCCACACTGTTCAAGACACCTGTTTGACACCTGTTTGAGTCCTGTCAAACTTAAACATCAAACTACCTGGGTGCATCCAAATTAAATATTGCTAACAATAATAAATACAACTTACCTACAGAATAAGCGTAGGTAGAGAAAGAAATTGTTTGCAGAAAAGTCAGCAGAAAACATTTACATTGTGTTTCTGTCAAGGCAAACATTCTGCCGATGTAGAAACATTCATGGATATAGCTGTGTACACTTATATAAATAACAGATAGAATAAGGTTATTAAGATTGTACCTTCAAAGGAATATTCAGCGAGTAGTGCTTACTCTCACTATTCATACTCAATAGAGTCGGACCTATTTTCTTTATGATATTTAAAGCAGCTGAATG